ATTTGGAATATTAAAAGTATTATTTTAGAATAGGCTTCTAAGCTTTAATGGAACAGCTACCTTCTGGAAATATCATGATCGTTTCATCCACTTGATGAGCAAAAAACTTCTGGCCCAGAATAGAAATGAGAATATTATTTGCATAGCTCAAGGCCGATAGTGATGCTTTACTCTAGCTAACCTTGTCATGAGGCAGTGTTTAACTCTTTCACCTTAATGAATAGACACATTGAAGTAATAATTTCGCACATGCTATTTCTCAAGGTAACTATATTCGATGAAATATAGATATCGTGAGTTGGATAGACTAAAGCGCTTGAAATGGGTGATATACTTTACATTATTAACTTGTCTGAATCCAACTAGATGCCATTATGAAGGCACTCAAGGCTCCAAAATTATTGAGTTTTATGTTTAGACTAATATCTTGAAGTAAGAATACTATTTATAGATGTTCGACATTACTTTAAAGTTGAAACTTGTTTACAGTTGCATTTTCTATTTGAATATAATTTCGTTGCGCTTCTTATGACAGTTTTCATGCACTTTATTAGACATTCAGTCCCTGCATTTCAGTCGATTCGAATGCCTTTTAAGAGTGTTCAGCATGAAAAGTAATTACATTAAAATGTTTACCTCTGCGAAGCTGCTTGACTTTAGAGTCCCACAGCATTTGAATAAGCTTAGTACCAAATTATTTAAAAAGGAAGCTTTCCCAACTTTGTGTGTAAGATCGGTATATGTCCAGCTTTATTATCTCTTCGAGTGTTTAGCAGCTTTCATCTTGACGGGTTTGCTATTTTATTTCAAGATAATGTTTAAGGTATAATCTCGCTTAAAGCTATCAGTCGTCAACGGCCTTTTGATTTTTATTTATGAGCATATCCTCTATTACTGCTTATTGTATACAAGGTAGGGAAATTCGGTTTTTAATTTATTCTGATGATGGGTTTGCTCAATTTATCAAGAATTTCTCTATCTCAATTATTTCTTCCTACTTTTGTCGTATTTTATGACTATCATTTGTCTTTTTAGGCTGTGTGAACGTTATTTGCTCCGACAAAACCGGTACTATGACACGAAACGAAATGACCGTTACTTTGGCAGTCACTGCCAACCTTGAACAGGTTGCCTTTGAGCCAGTTCACTCTAACTCTACAATATTTTCAAAAAACTCTCACATTGCCATCTCAGACTCGGCCTCCAATTTAGGCCATATCGGCGCCTCACCCTCAGCTTCTTCAAAATCTTCATCACATTCCCTCTCATCTTACAGAAATGATAATCTTACCACAATGTTCAGATCTGTGTCGAACAAAGGGCCGCCCTATAAAAGTTTGGAGAATGAAGACATTTCAGCTGGCCAAGATTATAGCCTGGGAGCATATTCTCCGGAAGTTTTGAAGCTTATTGAGGTTAGTTGCGATCTCGTGCACGGCAATTGAGCTAAATCTTATAATAAAATATTCTTTAGGATCATATAATGATTTTTTAAATTAATGACTTAATGGATAATTTATGAATCCCTTCCACTCACCTTTTCAAATTAAATAAAAAGTTATGCCAAGATCTCAGCTAGGAGATCTTCCTACTGAAACCTTTCCAGTATGTAAAGGTTGGCGTTTGCTTAATTCAGTGCGGTTGACCTGGCTTTGTATGAGGGCTCGCAGTCTGGCAGGTCTAATGTTAGTCTGGGTATGGATGGCGAGAATGTGACTGGTCGGCGGTCGCATTTCACGATTCAGATCAAGAAATGTGTGAAAAGATAAAGTGTTGGCGGAGAGACTCAATCTAGCTTAGCGAGACTAATCGGTATAGTGGGAAAAGCTGGGTCACCACAACCCCGTGGATGTTTATCTGGTGTTCTTATGAGTTCGAAGCTGAAGCCACATCTAAATATTACCCCTTATGGAGATACAAAATATACTGAGCTAACAACTATTGGATCATAGGTTAATTGTTCTGCATACTCGTTAGGCCAAAACTTTTCTTACCTATTTTACGTATGCATCTAAAGCCGATTATTTACTTAAGATTTCATTTTTCATTACTTCACTTTATGCCAATTTCATCATCCGATTTGCTGAGTATATGAAGATGAGGCTGTATCCGAATCCTACTAACTCTAAATATCATTATATAAAGCTGACACTAGTTAATTTTATCAGGTGGTTTGGGTGTGCCATCTTTACTACTTGAAAGTCATATC